GCTGGGCTGATCCACCATGAGCCTTTAACAGGTCCATGTTTCACAGGTTGAAGTCAGTTAGCCATATGGAAGCTTACTGAAACAGATGCAGACTAGATAGATACAAGATTTAAAATTTATGAACTTATTTGGAACCTCTTGGCCCATGGTCTTAGTAATTGGGAAAAGGGAAACTAGGAGGGAGAGAAATATATAAAAGGACATAAAAGTTTTAGATAAATTAGCATTATCAATCAATATTGAGATCTAAATTGTAGAAAATCAGGAAATGATTATCCAAGGACTTTTTAAAATCCTGAACTTGTATCAGAATTGTACCAATGTCAAAATCTGAAATTTAAGATCTTAAGCATTAATGCTGCTACCCTATTCCAGCACAGGAGCATGCCGTCCCCACCTGCAGTAGTTGCAGCTGAGGACCGCCAGGCCAACAAGCCAGCATGTGGCTCCGCTGATGCCCCAGAGGGGGGTGCATATGTCTCGGGTCCCATCCACATGAGCAAGTGGTCATGGAAGAACAAACAGCAGACCTTGACTGGACTTCCCTCTACCTACCCGAGCAGCTATGGAGGAAGGAACTCCAGGACAAAGCCAGAGGACTTTTCCTCGACTCGTGAAACAATGTGCAGCAGGAGGCTATTCCCTAATCTCCTTCCATACTAATGGCGTGAGCACGTGAGCACCGGGTGCCTTGCTCACGCTGCCACCAGTAAAGATGGTGGTGAGGTCACATGACCTGCCTATTCTGACCTCAGCCAAGATGGTGGCTAGACCATCTTGTATATACTGGACCCTTAGTAGAGCCTATCCTGCTGGGCCAACATAGGTCAGGCTTTTCTTCTGAAAGCCTTGGTAAGAACGGTTGACCATTTCTCTCTAGCTGGGTTATTTCCTAGCAGTGAGATTGTTTGCCTCTGTGTGCTGGAGGCATCTTGTCATCTCCACATTCACAATTCCAAAACTAAATCAAGGGTCTGCTTCAGCTCACAGTGCTCAAGACTGCACTTGTTCCCCTCTCCACCTGCTCCCCCCATGTGCTTCCTGCCTTACTCCTGCTCCACCTGTTCCTCTCCCACCTGCTCCTTCCCCACTTTTTCCTCAAGTGGTTTCCATCTCAATCAGTGAAGCAGCATAGGCTTTTTTTGCTCCAGCAACACTCCTTAGCTGTTAGGCATCTCTTCTTTACTTGGAAGTCCAGGGGGGCCCTCCACACTGTGTCCTTCTACAAGGACACCTGGGATGCTCTGCTTGTGTTATCTTACTGACCCATCTTCCCTCCTCAGAATCACTACTGTCATGGCACATGTAGCTATGGATAGTGTATTTGGCTTCATTAAAGTTGTACTGAATCACAGGCAGTGCACTGAGATCATTTGCCCAAGACAGATTTTATGAAGGAAGGGGACTTTAAGGAATAGGGACTGGAAGGAAGAGCTATCTTCTAAAGAGACTGAATGTCAATAGGCAGAAATGGGTTATCACTTACATTCTGCCAAAATCCTGAAAGTTTCCAAGGAACTGGTGTTATTTATTAGGTGACACAATGTCATTTATTAAGTGGTGCTGTTTACTGTGCGAGAAAAGCCATGAGGTACAACAAAACCCCCTATAAGAGTTTATTAAGGGAATAGAGAGGGGGTGTGCATAGGCCTATGGAATGACCATGCAGAAAGAGAGGGAAGGAATAGGTGGAACCTGCTTCTATAGGTACTCCCCTTGCACATGTGTATATGGGCTTATGTAGATATGCCATGCATGTGCATAGATTACGTGATCATGCTGTGCTCAAATTATGTGATTACACAGCACATGGATTATGTAGGATGTAAGGCCCTGGGATAACTAAGCATCTTACCTGGCTACTGGACAGCACACGTGTGGTCATGTAGCTGGGAGAGTGGCTAGGAAATCTAACAACTGGTAGATTTGAGCAATTTCCATACTGTAGCAGGGAGTTTTCTGTGTTGAGTGAGTGTTTTCAATTCCCTGGAGCTTAATAATTTTTTTTCAGCCAGATGTCTCCCAATGCATGCATCTCATTCCAGAAGTTGGGGAGACTTATCAGAATTTTGAGGTCTAGCCTCTTAATTTCCTTCCCAGGGGCCCAGAAGAGATGCTGCCAACAGCAGGGGAATGAATCTAGATACACAGAGCTCTTTTGTCCAACTTGTTTATTCGTCTGCCACCATAATTCTATCTATACAGCTTCAGTTCCATCCAGAGTCTCAGTTTCTCTCTGTACCTACTTTTTCTGTCCCCTCATAGCCTGAATAATAACTAAGCCTTATGCTCTTGGTCTCATCTTCGTCCTCTGTTCCTTTGTCCTCCATCTATCCCTCCTAGCTCCTTATTCCTGGCCCTGATAAACTCTACAAGAGATCTGCCTTACTGTCTACAAAGTCTCTGCTTCTCTGTCTTCTCTCTGGCCATGCAGCTCTGTCTACCATTTACAGAAAAACTGTCTTGTTCTTTCTCTCCTATTCATGTGATTCTGTGTGGCCAGGAATTACTCCACCTGGATATGCGAAAACCTCCTTTGTTCTGAGTCAGTAGCTCTGGAATGCCACAAGGCCTGAAGGCTTCATGTGTACAGGAAGCAAAGCTATCCATCTACAGCCTGTTTGTCTCCTAGGCTCTGTGGGGGAGTTCATTACCTAGAGGAATAAGCATCTGAGAAGCTTACACTGTTTGCCAATATGGTCTAGTAGTATATGGACCCACAAGAATTTCATAGCAGAAGACAGCTGAAATATTAAAAACTGAATAACATCAAATATTCCATGATAATGGCTTCCTCTAGGAAAATACCTTGAAATTTCTAGGTACAGCTTTAATATCCAGCTGAATCTCTATAATATATTCTTGTGGTCTGCAAGAGAGACTGAGGCAAGGGGGCTGCTAGAGCTTATAGCACTGAGCTTACTCCCTAGTTCCAGGAGCACTGTCAGGCATCAGGGCATATGTGTTTGGGAGGTTCTGAAGTTATTCTCTCCTTCCACCTTCACATGTATACCTGGGTTCAAACTCATGTCCTCTGGATTGGACTGGCATGCCAAGCATGTGTACCCACTAAGCCAAATCACTGGTCCACTATTATCTTTTTAAAAGATCCCATGTCTTTCAGAAATATGCTTTGAAGTATCTTTGTAGCTCAAGCTGCCCAGTAACTATTTCATCCATGTAGCCTAGACTGACTTTGAACTTAGTCTTCCTGTCTCAGCCTCCAAGTACTGGGATTGCAAATCAATTCTGACACCAAAGGCTATAAACGCACAAATTTCTCTCTCTCATATTACTTGGGCAAATTCAAAATTAATAATAAAATGCTTTATCATGCAATATTCTGTCATACTCCTTTGGTTTGACTTACCAAAATTTTAAATATATCTAAAGAGTATTTCACAGGAAAAAATAATATATTTACACTACCTATGATGATGTAAACACAATACAATTAGACAGTGGTCTCTAATAGGAGGAGTGTTCCACCCAATAGTACCACTGAAATAGCTACATGTTACTTGATGAACTAGATTTTTGTTTTCTTGAGTATCTATGTCAGGAATTAGGTGCCTTGAACAAGGCAGATGACAATCAAGCTAAATTGTAAGGTAGAGGTGGGAGAGTATGGAGCATACAAGCTCAAGTGTAAGATGGGATGGGGGTAATGTGGAGCACACTTTCTATATCTGCAGTGGTGAAGGAAACTGAGGCAGGATCCTTGCCAAGTTAGAGGGGATTGGTGGCTTTCTTTATGAGAATCTAGATACATTTTAATTTTTAAATGACATGTATTTGTTTACTAGCTTGTATGGAGATGGGTATGTCTATGTCATGGTTCCTGTGTGGATCCCAGATAACAACTTATGTGAGTTGGTTATCTCTTTCCACTATGTGGGTCCTGGGATCAAACAAAGTGAGAATTCCTAGCCTTCAGGAGCTGAGTAGGAAGATCAGGTCTGAGGACAGCAAGCCTATCATCCGATAACCACCCTTTCATATATTTTCATTTCATTGACTTTACTTGCTTCTCACACCCACATAATGCCCTCAGTTCTCCTAGTCAGTCACCTCTACAATTTCAGGCCAAGATCAGTCCCAGTGGATTCTTTTCCCCACGTCAATAGTATACTAAGATCTGTCTTAATCATTTTACCCAGAGTCTGGTTTTACTTTTGACACATTCCAACTCCTAGTCAATTCTTAGGGTTTTCCAAACACAAATCTAATCCTGGAATGTTCCAGGTTCCAACCTTGAAATAGCTTCTGATGACTCTAACATAACAAGAAAGTGGGTACCAGTTCAGATTTTACTTGTGGCCACTTTTGATTAAGAATACCACAGTGTTGAGTTAATCATTTAAATTCCTTTATTTATATATAGCCCATGGTTTTTGTTTTGTTTTGTTTTTGATTAACAAGGTTTATTTGTGTCATAGTACCTAGTGCCAGTTGCCCCCTCCTACCTAACTTTCACCTCTAAGGCCATGTACAGTTGGGTAAATGAAAATGTTGAGTCTCAGAGGGCCTTCCACCCCTAGTACGACTACTACAGCCCTTCCTTCACCAGTTTTGGAAATACAGTCAAACTCAAGGCAAGTAAAATGTGGTTCATAATTTAGGACATGGACTACTATGATGGAACTGCCCAAAGCCTGTTTGAGTGGTTCTGCATGTTTCGGTGAGGTTACAGACGTCACGCATGAGGCCCTTGGCCCAAAATCATATCTGCACCCATCCTGATTAGCCACATGACCAAGAGTTAAGCCTTATCCTTCCTGGCTTCTGGACCTGGAAGGTGAAAAAGGATAGATAGTTGCTTGTATTTTCCTGGCACCCCAGAATACTTCCGAGAACACCCAGTTTCTACTCCTCTCCAACTCCAAATCTTGCTAAAACACTTACCGTGCAACCCTTGGGTTAGCCCTTGAGGTCTGACACTGGGGTCTTGCCAACAGCATCAAAGCTAAACCCCAGTGCCACCTCACCATGGCTCTGCAAAATGTCGTGCTATAACCCATTCTTACTGCTCACTGGCTTCTGAACATTGAGGGTAGAAATAGCCGCTTGCTCCCCCCCCCCACCCCCAATGTCACAGGCATAGCTGAGCAACTGTGCTGTGCCTGTGGTGTTGACAGATCTAGGACAGCATCTTCAAGTAACCAGCCCAGTGATTTTAACAGCATCTGTTTAATCCCAGCACTCTGGAGGCAGAGATGGACAGATTCCTGAGTTCTGAGCCACCTGGTGAGTTTTAGGTCAGCTGGAATACATATTGTGGTACTGTCTCAACAACAAAACCAAACAACAAACAAAGCAGGGCACATTAAATTGGATGGGCTGGCCCAAGGAGATGGTTCCATGAGCAAAGGTGTTTGTGGGCATATGAAGAAATGACCACCTGAATTCAGTCCCCAAAGCCAACCTAAAAGCTGTAAGGAGAGACTCCACAAAATTGTCTTTTGACCCCTCAAAACACTATAGTATGCACATGCTTCCCCCTCCCCTACTCACTTCACACAAACTGATAAAAAAAGTATTTTTAAAGTGGGACAGGTTGACCTAGCATTCCTTCTGTAACTTAGGCAGGCTTTGTGATGAGTTTGGATGTATATCCCTGCACCATGGATGCGGAAGTGATACTGTGTTCCTCTTCTTAAGAGTTTTGTTTATGTGGATAAGAATTTTTCCTATGTGTATGTTTGTGTACCACATGTATACAGTGCCCTGAAGAAGCTAGAAGAGAGTGTCTGGGACTGCAATTACAGTTTTGATATGCCATGTGGATGCAAGGAACTAAAATTTGGTCCCCTGTACAAATAGCCAGTGCTCTGAACACAATGAATCATCTCTCCAGCCTTTTATTCAGATACTTAATGCTGTATTTTTATTCTCAGGAACTTGAGAGTCAAAGTTAGGTCTAAACATTTCACTGCAGGCTGTTTTGAAAACTTACTTCTTCCAGGACTGGAGTGATGGCTCCACAGTTAAAAGTACTGGTTGTTCTTCCAGAGCATTGGGGTTCAATTCCCAGCATCCAAATGGTGGCCACCAATTATTTGTAATTCCAGTTCCAAGGGATCCACAAAGCCTCTTCTGACCTCCAAGGCCCTTCACAGACATGGAGGACAGACATGCATACAGGCAAAGTACCTGTACTTATATAATGAAGTTTAAAAAAGACTTCCTTCTATCACTCACTACTTTCTTTTCTCACATGTCAAAGAAACAAGCCTGGGTGCACAGCAGGGCTGGGGAAAGGAGCAAGGTATCACTTCACCTGCCAGGCAAGAGAAGTCTTTGAGTGACTTATCTGCATAGTCCTCAGGAAGGGGTGGCCTGTCCTGGGTTTTGACAGTCCAGGATGTGGAGACTGTAATACATTGCAGCATGGTGACGATGCTTGGTGGTGAGTCTCAGGACTGCAGAGAGAGGTCTGTCAGATGAAAGGCATGTAGGCAAACTCTGGTACCTGTCCCACATCTGTGCAACACCACAGGAGGAGGTTGACCATGGGTGGTTGTCATCTATGCTGCAGCTGTGTGGAACTTCTTGTAGCACATGTAAGTGACATAGGATAGCAGTGTGGAGGAGTCATACATGGTATCCAGCACCATAGCCCCTGGGGGAAAGCCACTGCTCAGATGTGTGTTGAACAGCCCACTCTTGAGGTTCCAGATCTTCAGAGGTGAGATGTACCCACAATAAACTGTTCCTGTCACAAAAGTGCTCAGCAATGAGCTGATGGCAGTAGAGGAGACTCAGTCTTCAGTCTGGATGCTGTATAAGCACTGCCTGAGCAGGCCTGAGACAAAGTCCATACACAGAGACAGGCCTTGGTGCATTCTGCTAAGGGGTTGATTTGACAGATCCTGTATTCATGATTCTTATTCATTTTATTACAAATTTCTTTGCTTTCTGTCTTTCTTTCCTTGTTTTTCTTTTCTTTGCTATCTCGGAGTAGAGTTAGTTGTTTAAAGAAAAGTGACCAGAAGATGAGTATTTCCATGAAAAACTCCTCAGTTGTTCCCATTTTCCTCTAAGGCAGCTCTGCAGAGATAACTTGATAACTTGGTAGTAAACTGTGAAGGTTTTGCTTCCTGTTGCCACCCTTGCAGTGTGCTGATAGGAGTTCTGTTTTGGTCAGTGGTTGTACTAACACATTACTAGCTATTTTCCTGGATTTATACATTTTGGTGCTTTTTTGTTTTTCAGTTTTCTTTTTAAAAATTCTGAATTTGGGTCATTGAGATGTGTAGACACACATGCCACAGCACGTGTGAAGGTCAGAGGACAGGTTGGAGGCGTGGGTTCTCTCCTGGGCATTGACCTCAGGCCCTCAGACTTGGTTACAAGTGTCTGTACTCACTGAGCCAACCAGCTGGTTCCTGTCATAGCACGCCCTTCTAACCCACCCATTTCAGTATATTGGTGTAGTTGCTCTGTTGTCATTTTGGGGGTAGAGAACACTGGGTACTCATTCTAGAGCCCCTCTCATGCTTGACAAGGATCTGCCCACTGGGGCTTAAACAAAAAGTTATTTGGGGGCAGGGTCGATTTAAGTTGCCCAAGTATTTTGTCAACTCAGTTTGTAGCCATGCCAGGCTTTAAACTCATGATGCTCCTGCCTCAACATTCCATGTGGTGGTTTTCCAGGACTGCACCTCCACTCTCAGCCTTAAATTCATGTGGGAAGATTAGAAATTTGAGTCTGCGTTATTTTTCAAAATACTGTAGCTGTTATTACTATCATATTCCCTCTAGTATCATTAGCATTTTCTTGTTCTCTATCATGTGGATTTTATCTCTAATCTCTACTAGTCTTTCTTTCTAAGCCCTACCTTTCCATGCATTGATACTTATGTTTCCAACTTCATGTGTGTTTTTGTTTGTTTAAGTTGAAGATGGGCCTTTTGGGAGCCAGGCCTTGTCTTTCTCAGATGCCCTGAGAATGCTCCAAGGGAACAGTGGTTCTGTGTCCTGACCAAGGGCTGACTTGACAAGGTCTGGTCAGATGTTTGAGTGAACGTCTTGAAGGAATCAGGGGAACTGAGAGGCTGTGGTTATCAGTCTCATGGCCACTGTGTGCTCAGTCTGGGGTATCTTGTGTTCTTCTTGCCTATATGGATTAATTATCTTTCTCCTGACTGTCCCATTCTCCCCCTGCAAATACTGTATCAGCCCTATACATCTTAATGAACTTGCTTAGCATGTGCCATCAGCTTATGCAAGACATGCTAATCCCAATCTTTCTTTTTTTCTAATTAATTAATTAATTAATTTATTTATTTATTTGGGGGGTTCGAGACAGGGTTTCTCTGTGTAGCTTTGCGCCTTTCCTGGAACTCACTCTGTAGCCCAGGCTGGCCTCGAACTCACAGAAATCCACCTGCCTCGCCTCCCGAGTGCTGGGATTAAAGGCATGTGCCACCACCGCCCGGTCCTAGTCTTCTTCTTGGAGCTTCCTGGTCCCATAACATGCTGATCCCAATCTTTCTATCTTTAACAACTCATCCCAGGTTGTCACCCTGGTCACCTTCCCTTTGGGGACCCTAATAGGTTGATGTTGGTTGTCATAGACCAAAGTGGTTTAAACTTTTTTGTGTGTGTGTTGTTTTTTTTTTTTTTGTTGGTTGGCTGGTTGGTTCATTGGTTTTTTTCAAGACAGAATTTCTTTGTGTAGTCCTGGTTGCCGTGGGATGCGCTCCGTAGACCAGGCTTAAACTTTTGCCTCCACCTCGCAAATGGTGGCATAATAGTCCAGTGCCACCACAGAAGGCTGAAAAGTGTTAGTGTTTTGGATAGCAGGGTGCAGCTGAGAGAGGTGTGAGCAATCCTAGGTGTGATTGCTGTGGAATGTTCTGTATGGCAAATGTGTTGCTAATTAGTCAATAAATAAAACACTGATTGGCCATTGGCTAGGCAGGAAGTGTAGGCGGGACAAGGAGAATAAAGCTGGGAAGTGGAAGGCTGAGTCAGAGAGATGCTGCCAGCCGCCACGATGAGAAACAGAATGTGAAGATACCGGTAAGCCACGAGCCATGTGGCAAGGTATAGATTAATGGAAATGGATTAATTTAAGCTGTAAGAACAGTTAGCAAGAAGCCTGCCACGGCCATACAGTTTGTAACCAGTATAAGTCTCTGTGTTTACTTGGTCGGGTCTGAGTGGCTGTGGGACTGGCAGGTGACAGAGATTTGTCCTGACTGTGGGCCAGGCAGGAAAACTCCAACTACATGTGATTGCTGATGCCTGGTGAATATCTATCAGGTGGTTTAAATTCAACTAGGGTGGACTAGGTACTCTTTCAGCTGTGAGGCAGGGGGATCGCTCCACTGCACATTGTTTAATGATCTCCTTATGCTTAGAGAAAGGAGAAGTGCTTAGTGTGTTCAGGAAATGTGCAGGGACAAGTTTGTAGTCCAGGTGCAATTCTGCTGCAATACCAGTCTCTGCAAATCTGGGACTGGTCTGTGTTGGGGGTGGAAGCCAGGGCTGAGAACTATTGTGCTGTGCCCATTTATTGCACACTGTCCCTAAGGGAGCTGCTCCTGTCACTCAGGCATCACTAGCCAATCAAGGATTCCAGATGGGCCTGCCAGTCAGAATGGGGAGGGCACTTCTGGTCCCCCATGCTGCGGGCTGGATTCTGGGGTTGAGGGAGGCTCTGTGTTTCTGGTGCTGCACTTTGACCTGCTGCCAGGAGCTGAGGAGAGCCGGACTTGCTCGGCATCCATGCCAGGGTGAACGAGGGTCTGTCGTTCCTACACGGGGAGGAGCTGTGGGAGCTCATGTGGAGTTCGTTCTGGGGTGCTGTGTGCTGGTGGGAAACCAGGGCCAGACTTAGCCCGGCAGGCTTTGCCTCCACAGAGCATCAGGATTGGGAGTCTTTGTGTGAAAACTTGTCACCATGCTGGGCGTGCGCATGTGCAGCTTTTACTGTTGCCTGGGAAGGCAGATTTTCTAACTTGACAGAGCCCTGGTCTCTCTAGTGTCTTCTAGAAGTTCTGCATGTGGCACTGAACATTCAGGTGTAGGTAGATCTGTCAGCAGTTAATTCTGTGCAGGGTGTGAATTCTGTGTCATTAACACATTTGCATATATATACCATGGTGGTCCAGTCATGTGTTAGTTAAGGCCAGACTTAATG